GGCAGTAATGATCATGTCTTCCCAGGTGTCATGTTTACACGACTGATAAATAAATACCCACGACAGAAGAGTCATTTGACCCGAGAGTGAAGGCTGAATGTACCTTTTCACACTGAAGAGCCAGATGTTTGATGATCGTGAAAGTACAAGTGTTTTTTTTAATGATTATTTTAGTTCCGATAGTTTATGGCGTCATTAAACTGCATTGCGTTAAATTGCATTGATACGTTTTTCCAGCTCATTTATTTTAATTAAGGTAAAGTAAATATTAATTAGATAATTATCTGAAAATGGGAGGGACCAAATATTAGAAATATTTCTCAGTGTAGTTTTATTCATGATACATATAAAACATAAAATGGCAACTAAGTGTAAATTCTGGTTCGTCCATACTTTTTTTTTTCTCTGTAGAGGTCGTTTTCCCATCTGTTACCCTTCCCACCATCTGTCTCTCCAACACATACATTTTACATGACAAACCAGAAGCAGCAGCATCGTGGCTGTGAAAGCAGGTTTTCATCATTTCTCAATGTGCATTTTGAAGTTTGCAATAACACATTTAACATAATTCCGGCAAGTTAAGATTTTTTCAAAACACTTGGAATTATTCCAATGCAATGTCAAGCTCACAATTCCTCACAAAGCAGCACGTTTGAAATCTGTAGCATGAATTTAACACCCTGTAGAAATATGACCAGATCTGATTTCACCTTAAACCAGACAGCAACGTCACGAGCTGTGATGTTTAGTCAGAACAAACTCTTGCTATATCCCATAAGCTCTTATGTGTTTATTGTAATTAGGCCTGTGTCTCAAAAAATTAATGTCCTGTTGATTTACATGAAGTGGCAAAAAATGAGCTCAACAAGAGAATTACAATTCTGCTCACAGCGTTGCTAATTTTGTGTCTTTTTTCAGTGAAGTTAAGTAGAGGCCTTATTTATTGAAATTATTCTGTATGTGATAAAAGTAAGTGAAGTAAAAAACAACATTTATTTTTTATTGTGAGACACTGAAGGCCTGGTTTCATCTTGGTTCTGTTTTGGCATCAGTACGATAACTTTATATTTAGCCTGTTTCTCTGCTAAATATGAAGCTGGACACGTTCAGCAGCCACTTAGTTGAATTTAGCATAAAGATCATCAAAGTGGTATCAGCTTCTTAGAAATGTTGTCTAACACAAGCAGCCGTGGAATATTTGGATCTGATAATTCAGTAACATTGTGAGAGAGACCAGACATCTCTGTGGCCATGATTAGGTAAAGGATGGTACAATTCCGAGCTGCTGCCACAGTCTGCATATAATTATGGACATGACGGCTCCCCTAAAGTAAAGTCAGAGCATCTTGATCGCCCTCTGGTGGCTTGCTGCAGAAGAGGTCATAAACACCACCTTCTCAATGTTAGCAGATGGGACACGGACCAAACCAGACAACATCGTCGCAAGATGGCAGCGTTCCAACCTGGGGTATTTTAGCGTAGTTTCTTGATAGTAACAGGAAGTAGAGACTCATTGCCTATCTTTATATAAAGTCCATGGCGATGTCTCATATCTACCCTGTTTTTTTTTTGTATAATGTTTCAGACAAATGAAAACAGTATAAAGTTAGTCAAATGCAAGCAGACGTTGTTTTACTTGTGTGTGTGTGTGTGTTAGTGCGTGAGGGAGAGTGTGTAAGGGAGAGTGTGATAGAGAGAGGAAGACATCTATCAAAGCCCATTTCAACCCTTTTCATATCTCCTAATCACATACATTGAAACGCCAGAAACAATTCCACTGCCAGAGAGAGAGAGTGACTTAAAGGGTGATGGATAGCTGAGAGAGAAACAGAGAGAGAGAGAGAGAGCAAGCAAGGACAGAATGAGAGAGTGAGAGAGCACTTTCTATTTATAGCCTGTGTGCCCAGAGAGGAGGAGGAAGGCTCACTGTTGTTCGAAAGCTCACTCGGTGCATATGATTTTTGTTCTGTGTTACGCAGGCTGCCACTCAAAAGATGCAGGAGCAGGAACATATGATAAATGCATGCCATGCAAATTATATAGCATGTGGGTGGTGAGATGGGTCATTACTGGGAAAAATAACGGCTGTTTGAAAGACTGATGAGAGGAGAAACACGACTGGTCCAGTAATCATGTGCAGAACTGAAAGCTTCGCCCCCCTCATCAGCCTACATGGAAATAAATGACCCCTCTGTGTGTGTGTGTGTGTGTGTGTGTGTGTGTGTTTTCCTGCACTTATATCTTTCTTACGTCTTTGTGAGGAACAGTTAAGCATTGACCCCACATAGTGAGGACATGTTTGGAAAGTGAGGACATTTTGACTGGTCCTCAATTTTTCAAAGGGGTGTTTGAGGGTTAAGATTAGGTTTAAGGTTTAGAATTAGGTTTAGGTTATGGTTAGGCATTTAGTTTGGATGGTTAATGTTAGGGTAAGGGGCTAGGGAATGTGTTGTGTCAATGAGTGTCCTCACTAAGAGCAACGCGTTCCCTCGACGCAGAACTTCGAATGCTCAACGACTGACGGCGTAGGTACGGCGTAGACGTGACGCAGAAGCATAAACTAGGCTTAAGACAGAAGTATGTGTGTGTGTGTGTGTTTGTGTGATCACACACAGCTGTCACTCACTGATAATTCAATGTTGCTTCAAGAAATTAAAGCCACCATCATGATTCATTATAGGATATTCATTATCTCATCGTCCCCACTCATCCACGTAGCCTTAAGGCCAAAATAAGACACACACACACACACACACACACACACGGTATCAAACCTCACTGTGTTTTAACAGCCTGTAATTCTTAATCACCACTGTGGGAAGCATCCAGTGGTGAAGGTCGAGAGTTTTGAATTTGGTTCTTTTTTGTTCTTTTGTATTTTAAATGAAAGATTTTAAATGTTGGCGAATCCAAAGTCTCTCTGTGACTTTGCATGTTCTCTCAGTGTCTGTTGGGTTTTTTTCTGGCTCCTCAAAACACGGTTCTCTTACTCCTGCATTATGTACCTTCGAAATTAAAGGAAAACTGAAAGTAGAGACTAACTATTGTGTAAAGGTGCATTATTAAAGACCACAGTCATCCAGCATGGAGACTGTTCTCTCTGCTACCCTCTGGCAGACAGCACAGGATTAGGGCTGCACGTACGACCAGACTTTATAACAGCTTTTATCACCAGGCCATCAGGTTTCGAAACTCATATTTCAGCTCACGTGCAAAAATCCTTTGCATATCTGCTGCCTGCCTGTTTGATTAGTCACCTCTGAAAAATTGCAATGACTCACTTTACAGTATACTCTTGTTACTTTGGTGTTGCATCCACTTGTATTAGACTTTTTACATATTGAGCTCTTTAACTTTATTTCAATGTACTTTATTCAAGATTCCCTCTCTCCTTTTCTTACTTTATATCTTTTATGACATTGCTCTTATTGCACTGCTGAGCGGACCTGTCCTTGTCCAACACTTCTACCGTTTCCCCTGTGTTTATTTACATATGACAGATTAACTTGAAACTTGAACTGGAAAAGTTGAAACTACAGAACCGATTGTGGAGGTTCATCATTAACCTCACTGAGGCTTTTGTGTTGAATGCAAAAACTGTTGCTCATCAAAAATAATTCAAGTACATTAACTTAAATTAAAGTTGAACATGGATTTATTTAAATTAAAAAAAATGTAACACAGTTTTAGCATTACTGCATTTTTTTAGATTTTGACAGGTTTGCTTTCCCCCTTTGATTCCAGTCTTTATGCTAAGCTAAGTTAATCACCTCTCACCTTTATACTGAACACACAGACATGTGTGGAAATCTTTTTTTCTGGAAATAACTTATGAAGGTTTCCCTCCATATGTTTAAACATTCCTTTAAGTACAAATACAGAACACAGTCAGATTTGAACCCTCTCAGCTCCTTGGTTCATGCTAAAAAACAAACATGTCTTGCCTTTGCGAAACTGCTGTCTCTTTAATGGAGGTTGGGTTAGAAGCACCAGTTATTTCTAGCACCTGTGGGTGGGCCTATAAATAGAACATGTATGCACACACACACACACACATACATATTTTCTTCTTCGTCTTCACCTCTGTGTGAGGTGTTGTGGTTTTGATGTCCAGGTGTTCTTTAACTTTTGAAATTTTTATTACAAGGTGCAAGAGACACCTACTGAGACACTGCTGTGCGCACACTTCTTCCACTTTTCTCTCTATGTGCATCAGAGTTGTATTGTATTTCTCTGTACATCCTAATGCTCTGTCTTTCTTGCAGAGGTTTGCTCTCCCTCATCTCAGTTTTTTGTAACTGGCCAACATTTTGTCACAGTTCAGTTTTCATTTTCATTTAACTTTGCAAGACAAGAGACAAGACTAAAATAATATTAGGGACTAGCACAGTGAATACAGGCCTGTTAACCGAATGGAGCTGTACGTCTCTTTGCATCACTTTTAAAATATTGATAATAATAATAATGTGTTGTAACAGTAATATTAATGATAATAATTATAATTTAGCAAATAGCATGAGGGGAGAGGTTCAAGAAAATATATAATAATTATCTTATAATGAAAATAACGATAATCTTAGAATGATATAAAAATCCAACCACTGTGATAATAATAATGATACATATAAAAAATACAAAATAATAATAGTTATAATTTTGATAATCTGAGATAAATAACTAAATAAAGCTGAATTAATCCTTCTCCTTTCGCCACTGATTTTATTTATAATAACAGTAAATAATAACCATAGCTATGATGATAATTTCTTCTCAGTAACCATAATCATATTAATTATTTATTGTCATAAACATGTTATTGTCAGGGAGGGCTCCAGAGCAGCAGGGACATTCTGACAGGACCCACTAAGTTATTGTTTCACAATAACACAATTCAAACTTGTAATGTGAATGTTGAAGAGCAGAACTTATAAATAATAATAATTCCTTGTTGTTTTTCCTGTGTAAGTTATTCAAATTGAATCTCCTTTCTTTCTTTGTAGCCTCAGACAACAGCCAGCGGTTTCAGGAGACATGTTTCGCCTTCGCATTAACACCACAGCAAGTCCAGCAGATCAGCAGCTCAATGTAAGGCCGCTCTGTCAATGGTTTATGAATCATTCAAGCATTCGTGTCCTGCAGATATGTGGTGATAAACTTGCGTCTGTGCTCACAGGGACATCTCGGGGACCAAATGTGATTTCTCAGTTCAAGTTCAGTTGCGGTTTTGCCTGTCGGAGACGAGCTGTCCTCAGGAAGACCATTTTCCACCCAATCTCTGTGTGAAAGTCAACGGGAAGCCGTGTAACCTGCCGGTGAGCGGCTGTGAATTAAACAGACAAATCATTCTTTTTTGTGCCTCTGGATGAGAAACTTTGTAATGTTTCCAATAATGATTTCTGTGATCCAGGGTTATCTTCCTCCTACCAAAAACGGTGTAGAGCCCAAGCGGCCCAGCCGGCCCATCAACATTACCTCATTGGTCAGATTGTCCACCACTGTCCCCAATACCATCGTGGTGTCGTGGACCGCTGAAATCGGAAGGGTGAGGACCAAAGTCTTTCACAATTCTCATTAAGTAACAAGAGTTGTATTGATGTGAAACAAAAACTGTAAATTGTAAATATTTGCTTGTTAAAATTATGTACTTTTCTCTGTTTTATGTAATTTTAACTCAAATCTTTCTTATTAAGACAATAAAATACTTAGATATGAGTAATGTAAAACTACAACTTGATTGTAAAACCTTGGATGTTTGAAACGTATCCTGTGTGAAGACTGAGGTTACAGTTATTGATATTTATTTTCTATAGTGTTGACTTATATAGAGGTGGGTGGAGCCTGACCCGCCATCTGCAGACAAACAGTAGAGGACAGTAAAGGAAACATCTGTCCCACTGGCCGCAGTCGATAATTTATAGTGTAAAAGTTCTTATTTCCCTATTTTCCTTCTGACATATAAATAAACATATCTGTGTCTCAGAGCAGTCAAGTTCCCTTTAGATGAGAAAACCTGCGGCACAGTGACCTTGAGTAAAACCATTTGAAGAACAGTCTCTGTAACTGGCCCAGAACGTAGACCCTGGCAAACAAAAACTGTCTCAATGTGAGATTTAAGGTGTCACTTTGCACATTATCATTTTATGGTCCTGTGTGTCCGCAGAGTTACTCCATGGCAGTGTACTTGGTGAAGCAGCAGTCGTCAACAGCGTTGTTGCAGAGACTACGGGCGAAGGGCATCAGAAACCCAGACCACTCCAGGGCGCTCAGTAAGCAATTCTTTTTTATACAGTCAATTACATCCGTAATTACATCACATACTAAATTAACATCAGAGACAATATTGACATTATTTAGACACTTTTTTTTTTTTTTGACTTTTCCAAAAGACCTAATGCAACAGAAGACACAGTAATAAAGTATCACTGTAGCCTCAAAGGTTGACTGATAGATTTCAGTGAAGGCAAAGTTCAATGTGATCCTATAGAATTCTGGACGGACACTGCACTGGTGGCAGAGGCATACAACATGGTATTCTGGTTAATTCTGTTTTTTCATTAGGTTTTTATTGAACCCTTATGTCTTCTGAAAGAAGCTGGTAGTGAAATGTGTTTTTTGCATCATAACGTTTGATCTTTTGTAGAAATAATGCTTTTCAAATATTTATACATCTATATATATTCTATACTGTAAAGCAAGTGATTCAGATACAGAGGTGATTCATTTAGCCCCACACAGCGTGAGGAGCTTCATTCACAACCTCAGTTTGAAACAAGTAGTAAAGGAGTTGCAGGATGAAATGAGAAACTGATCATGTTTGTATGAAGTCCTGCAGCTGCTTCTGTCTCTCATGTGTGTGTTGTGCTTCTTTTCTTCAGTCAAAGAGAAGCTAACAGCAGACCCAGACAGTGAAATAGCCACGACCAGCCTTCGAGTGTCACTGCTCTGCCCGGTAAACATGCTCGCGGCTCCTCTGAATTGAGGGCAGTGTTTAGAGATCCAGTCATGCCCAAACATGTCCGTCCATTCTTTTCTCTTTTCCTTGTCCCTGAATATGACTCATGCACTTAACACCTGGTTGAATGCATGATGCATGATCCTGTCAAATTTTCATCTCACCCCTATCAAATATATTTTCCATGTGGGCTTGGCATGTTTGTGCATTTTGTATAACCTCCATCCCTGCTGTGTGTTTCATCCTCATGCCCTGACTACATGTTCACACTGTGCAGCTGGGGAAGATGCGGCTGATGATCCCATGCCGGGCGCTGACATGCTCCCACCTGCAGTGCTTTGACGCCACACTCTACATCCAGATGAACGAGAAGAAACCCACCTGGGTTTGTCCCGTGTGTGACAAGAAGGCTCCCTATGAACACCTCATCATTGACGGGTACGTCACCCAATCCTCACCTGCAGGTGACCTGTGAGGAAATAATACAAAGAAAGTTCAGAAAGCTATTAAATGAGTTGCTGTGACTTGTTCCCGTCTACAGAGGGCGGAACACCCAGTAAACTAAAACTAAAAGGATTTTAAGGATTTTTAGGAAAATGTAGAATAGAATCTACTTTTATTTATACAGTCCCATAAAAACAACAGGCGATAAGTCAAAGTACTTTACACACATGGCAAAGGAAAGGTAATACAAGTATTAATGAAAATAAAATAACACTGTGATGCAGTAAAAGACACCCAACATAAAAGTAAATAAGATTAAATGAATGACAAACAGAAGCAGAAAATGAGACAGATTCAGGCTGAGTTAAAACACTGTCCCAGGAAGTCACTGTTGGCTGGAGCTTCATAGTCACAGAAATTGGGCGTGGTTTCAGATTAATTTGTTCTTGAAACGATCAACTGTTATCAAACTATATCATCCAATTAGAATTAAAGTAACAAATCAATTAAACTAGTTTTAATTTGACAAATCAAAACTCAGGGTCATCTCTTTTTGTGGGCTTCCTCAGTTCTTCTTTAGTTAATAGTTTTTGTTAAACTAAGATGTCATACTGACTTCTGACTTTCACTGTCAACACTGAATACAAATATTTTAAAATCAGTTATTTATCAAATATGCACTTTCTTGTTTGTTTTCTAAAACCTGTCGTTTATTTTAGGTTTTGAAAGGACACAACTCGACCCATCTCTAACTATTTTATATACAATCATCTCAACACCGCAAAAACACAGACACTAATTCTTTACATCAGATCATGTGTCACCTTTTGAAGGATAATATTTGTTAGGAGCATCTTACAGGCTTGACCGTGACTCTGACTGGTTTGTTGTCTGCTTTGTGGAAATCAGCAGCTGAAGTCAATTTGGACTCTCAGCAGAAAAAGTATCAGAAATGTTGCATCAAAACTTCTCAGACTCTGTTGCAGCAGATCCTCAGTATCTTTGTGAATGGTATCGTATCTTTGTTCTCAGGCTTTTCGTCGAGATCCTCAACAGCTGCTTGGACTGTGATGAGATCCAGTTTAAAGAGGATGGCAGCTGGGCCCCCATGAGGTCTAAGAAGGAAGTGCAGGAGGTGTCGTCTGCTTCTTACAACAACGGGGTGGATGGTAAGACGGGGTGTAAGGGATGGATGGAGACAGGGTGGGGTGATAAACAGAAATGTTGTTTCTACATTGCAGCTGTGTGAAGAGGGTGGAAGAGATTAAATGAGGATTAAAGAGACGTGGTGAGAAGAGAGAGAAGGTGCTTTTACATCCACTCCTTTGTTTATGCATTGTCAGTTTTAATTTAGTGAAGCATCAATCATGAGGCCACAGAGTAAACTGCTTGTCTCCATAGTAACAAACATATTGTATCTCCTACGAGAGCTGGGGAGAAGTGTATGTGTGCATTTGAGCGTGCTCACGCGTCTCGACAGCACTTTGTTTTCATAAAACCATAAACATAAAATCGTAAACATCCGAACAAATGCAAACCCTCCTGTCCGTGTCTCTGTTGCACTCCAGGTTCATGCCGAACGTCCTCGGGATCAGATCAGCGGAGCTCCTCGTCGTCCAGCCACGGCGGCGACAGCGGCAGCAACAGTAAAAAAGTGGAAGTGATCGACTTGACACTGGACAGCTCCTCAGATGAGGAGGAGCAGGATTCACCGCCGCCGCCACCTCCGCCCCCTCCAGCCAAAAGAGCGTGTCCCTCTATGTCTCCGACGTCGCCGCCCATCAACAACAAAGGGTGAGACACGTTGAAACTGTGATTTCACCTCCACACTCATTTTGGATCTCGTTAAATGTTGAAAGGAGGCTCATCTTAACTGCTTGCATGGGTGGATGTGATTCTAGATGTTAAATGATTCATGAGTTGAAACACACAAGTATCTTTGACAATTCCACATCAACAGCACTCACAGTGAGCAGCCAGGAGGGCTGGCACAGGAGAAAAATGTGTCTCAACTTTATTTGTACAGATCTAGACAGAGCCGACTTTCCAAAACAACAAGACTCAGTCTATTTGCTTTCATCATGAGCTGGGTTAACGTTCAGCAGATTGTCAAAATGGAAATAAACACTTGGCAAACCTGGATCAGGAAGGATTCTTAACTCTCGCCTAAAAAACTAAACATGCTGAGGATTTGAATCTCTGCTCATTCAAACTTTAACAAGAGCGTTTTTTTTCAAATTAAAATTCATTATGTGCGTCATTAGACTTTAATGAGTCGTGACTGTTATTGTTCAGAGGTTTGTTTGGAGCTCAGTGGAGGAGACGGCACGCCCCGTGACTCCCCATCAAACACGACATGAAATAAAAGTCTAATTATGATTTAATTGGCTCTTAATCTCTGAATCTGTCCCTGTGTATCTGCCTTCAGCGTGTTGAACCTGCACCACCAGGCCTCTCCTGTGAGCTGCACCCCGAGCATGCCAGCGATGGACACTAGCTACATCCCTCCTGTACCCCCACTCATCCAAGATTACAGACCCTACTACCACCCCCCCAACGACCTCTCAGGTAAACACACACAGTCACACACGAGATGATTTAGTAACATTTATCAATAATTATTCATTTGAGTCAGTTGAATATGACATGGCATCTTCGTCTGCACCTTCTACTTGTACTCCTCTTATTCATCCTGAGATATTTCTATTCTTCCAGTTTTTAACATCCGTCCCAAGTTAGAAACGTCATCAACACGCCTTCTCGCTCACAGTGAATTTGCTGGAAAATGTCCAGACACATTTTACGTGGGGGCTGAAGGGAAAAGTTCCAGAATTACAGTCTAATACATCAGCCCTACTGTAAATCTTCCTCCCTGAAATTCATGTGTTTCAGTTTCTATTTAAATAAATTCAGAGAGGTGTTGAATCATTTATATGATCATTTTGGCAGTTTTTAAGTCAATATCAATAATACTAGGCAGGAAGAGCTGATTATGAGGAAACTTGACGAAGCTTCTATCACACACGGGGGGGGGGGGGGCATCAGGATAGAATTTTATGTACTTTAACCTGAATAGTGGCCTTTAGGTTTCACACAACATAAATACAAAATATGTACAATTCAAACGTTGAATTGAATTTAAGAGTTTTTGTTGTTATTCTAATCCGACGCTGCTTGTTCTTGATTTCCAGAGTTGAACTTCTTCTCTTTTCTTCAAGGCGACAATCATCAGGTACGTAAGAACACTGCATCACATTACGTGGAGATGCTGAATCACTTCTCATTGCAGTGAAAGAAGCAGAAACCTGAAGCCACAGTTGGTTTTAAAAGGACACGGAGGCTCTGACTTTAAACACGCATCTGCTGAAAAACTAAGCAAAAAGGCTGCACACTTAACTTTGCATAACCGTCTTGTTTTTCTTCAGTGAACAGCAGCGATGGGAGATCCCTCATGCAGTGTTAATCACCTGAGGTTGAAAAACACATTTTAATCCTGGTTTTAGTGAATTTCAGTGTCACACACCTCCTGGAACACTGTGTGCCTGTTACAGGAGAAATGAGAGAGACATTTGACAGATGATGGTTGTTACCCTACAGTTACTGGTGGGCTGAACTCACTGAAGCAGTTATGAAATTTCCTGATCCCTGAAGTCCTCCTCTTTTATTCTGCTGTTATTTGAAATCAATATTTTGAAAGGTTGGTTCTCACAAATGACAAAAAACTTACTAAATGTTCTCTTACCTTCAGAGATGAAGAGATTTCTGCTGCCACCTCAACACAGAGAGGCTGAATAGACTTTCACATTTAGCTCATACTGTATAAAAAATGACATTTCAATCAATTTAGCTGTAGCTGTATTTCTAGAATCAATACCCTTGTTACTGTGGTTAGTCCACAGACTCCATTAGAACTACTTTCTCCTAATGGATAAAAATAGCCTCATATTGAATGTGTAAATGGATTTTTCTGTGGTTTAACAGTAACATTGTCCCTGGAAAGATGCTGCTGTTTAAATGTTAATGCCGTGAGCAGTGGACCACGAAAGAGGCGTCGGAAATCAGAGAAAACCCAGACCATAGGCTGTGTGTAAAGATGTCTCCAGAAACTATGCCAAAAACATCCCAGATACAAAAGCTGCCATCTTGCATATTTGGAGCCAGAGTCAGCAGCTGTCAATCATGAGGTTTAATCCAGTTTTTTATAGCATCAAATAACTAAATAAACACTTGAACTACCTGAAATAAAATAAAAACATTTATGGGAAAAATGTATCTCCCATCCCTTAACATGGGGGATGTAGAGTTTATGACCTATACTGCAGCCAGCCACCAGGTGGCGATCAAGATGCTTTGGCTTCACTTAAAGGGAGCTGTCATATTGTCCGTCTTTATAAACTGTCAGTGGCTCAGAGAAATAAAAACAAAAATACTTGAACAGCTTGAAACAACAGGACGTTTTCGAGTTTTTGAAATGTCATCTGCTTCTCATTCATTCGGTCCATTCAGTTACTGCTGGTTACCTCACGTCTAGTTCAGTCCATATTCTCGAAGTATCTAGTCACTACAGAAAACGTGAGCTGCTCTGTCTCCTCTTCAGACGTGTTCACAAAGCTGCTGACAGGAAGTGAGAAATCACAGATAAGAAAAGGGAGGAGTCGTCCCCGTTGATACAGATGACATCACTTTTGTCTCCTCAGCGACAGGTTGACAGATGACCTGTCAGCGTGGATGAATATATTCATCAGTACACAGGAAGGAGCACAGAGAACAAATTCCATTTGATAGATTCACATTAACAATCTGCGTGAACGGCATTAACAAATGTTTTAATGGAACAAAGTAAAGTATGAATGTTTGATGGAGTCATTTCACATTTATCATCAGTAATTCAATAATAATAATTCAGTGAGAGCCGAGAGATCAGAGATAGTTTGATTGATGAATAATTCTGAGAGAGTTAAGTGCAGAGCAGTGAAAACCTTCCTGTCGGGTGTTAAATTAAATTCATTGGAGCAGTGAGTGTATTGTTATTAACTTGGCAATTATCACAATATGCTTTAAAATTGTATTCATTTTCTATTTTTATTCTATTCTATCTCGCAGACCTGCAGCAGCTCACAACAGTATCTCTGAGTTCTCTCCCACTTTTACAGCTGAAATGCTTTGTGATTTGAAAATGCAGGACAGCAGCGATCGAGAAACTTTCCCGTACGTCACAGTGTGAGATTGTCAAACTTTCAGACAATCAGTTTGTGACGTGTCGCACCTTGAAATGAATGGATGGTGAAATAGAAAAAAAGCATATGACAGCAGAGGTCTGTCATCAGCTCCTGCCGGAAGAAATGAGGTGGCACGGTGGTGCTGTAATCAGCACTGTCACCTCACAGCAAGAAGGGCCACGGTTTGATGTGTTTTCACACACATTCAGGAGTTTCTCGTAAGCGTCAAGATGTTTTGTCTCTAACACGTCCTCCTCTCTCGTGTTTCTCTCAGCATTACAACATGGTGATGGCAGCAGCGGCCGCCGCTTCAGCCTCAGACGACCACGAGCTGCTTCTCAACCGCTTCCTGCCCTACAGCACCACCTCCTCCTCCGCCTCCCAGCTGTTCCTCGACCAATCAGGAGCCTCGTCGGCCACTTCGCTGACCGTGCCGACCAACGGTGCGAGCAGCTCGGGCAGCAGCAGCAGCCTGGTGTCGTCCAGCAGCCTCCGCGACACTCACTCCACACACTCGTCTTCACACTCGGGCTCGCACTCCGCACACACACACCCCGGAGTGGTGGCCAGTCGTAGCAGCGCTGAAGCAGCAGTGGCAGCTATTTACGGTGGAATACCCGACGTCATATCATTGGACTGACTGTAAAAGAGCCGAGGACACACTTTGGGTCAAGCTACGATCCAGTAACAAAACCAATCACAAACAGTTTGACTGCAGGGTGACGTTTTGATCCAGAAACTAGACTGGCCCCCCTGAGTCATTAAACTCCAAGTGTGATGTCGTGATGACAAGGCTGCCTCAAGAAGAGCACTAATGTAATGAGTGGGTGATCTGAGGGTTCCCTTCACGACGCTGACCTGAGGACCGGACTGAGTCATCAGTGACACTGTGTTGGTGAACTGACCTCAGAGCAGAAACCGTCACACTGTTCTCGTGGTACCAACCTGGCACAGACAGCAAAGATGCTACCTGAGCAAAAACACAAAGGAGGACGGCTCTTTTTTACGAAAGCGAGGAGCAGCACCGTGTACAGAGAACAAAATATATTTTCCTCTTTTACTTTTGTATGTTAAATCTGAACATTTACAGTCGAGTGGGCTGCTTCTGTCGCCATTTTAAAGATGAGGACTTTTACACAAAGCTTATACATATGCCTGTTGCCATGTGATTTTATTTTCCTCCTCTTTTGTCTCTATTCTCTTTGAATTTCTCCATAATTAACTTCAAGTCTCCTCCTCTCCTGCTCAAGCTCATTTTTAAACTGTTGTTTCTCTATCGAAGACAAGAACTTTTCAGAGGCTGAATTTAAAGTCTATTCATATGCTAATAATTGTATTATGCTTTTAAGTTATGTATGATATTTAAACAGGTTATGCATACATATATATGTGTGTGTGAGTGTGTGTGCGCGAGTGTGCGTGAGTGCGTGTGTGTGTGCGTGCGTGCGTGCATTCCCTTTGACCTTCAGGTTAATGCTGTTGGGAGTGTGTAGGTGGAAATTAGCCATTTCTGGTTTTTCACTTCTTGATTTCCAGTTCCAGAAAGAGACTCAGCAAACTTTTAGACTATTTATATTTACCAGTTACATTTTGAGCTGGAAGTTTCTTTTGCTTTTTCCTTTTTTTGCCAAAATGCCAAAAAAATAATATACGGTACCTATGAAAAGTGATCACAATAATAAGAGTGCAGTTGCATCTGTCTGTTGCCGCAGTGTTTTCAGTCAATTGTCCAGCTGGTGGTTGTTCAGACACTTTTAACTTTGTCCTCTTTGTCTCTCGTCTCCTAGTTTTGTATTTTTCTGCCGGACTGTTAGGAAGTAATTCAGACAGACGTCAGTATGTTGTAGCAGCGCCGGGCCTTTTAAAGAGACAGGCTTTCCCTGACATGTGCCACAGCTTCACTGGAGCGAGTGACCAAGTTTAAACCAGTGCCTGTTTGTGCGCACGCGTCTCCACGACACGTTTGAAGTAGAGTTTTCAGAGGAATGTCTTCTATGGTCACCCACCACAGCCGAGGCCCAGCTCTGTCTGGACAAAAAACTTGAGCTGCGATTGATTTCTGTCTCTGGAGTTTTCTTCGGGGACAAAGCAAAGAACAGGTGTAAGCAGGACGTTGGGGCCACAGTGAAAGCGGCTGATCTTAGCATGTCAGCGTAGACTGTGCACAGAGCCCGTTAAGTTTAAAAATACATGACCTGTCTGGAACCTAAAACACCCCAGGAGATAAGTCAGTGTACAATGTGGAAGTGTCAAAGCGAGGCAGAGTTTTTTTCAGGATTCCTCCGTGTTGTTGCCATTCAGCTGAAAATGTCGGGTTTGCTCACGAATGTAATGTAAGATTTTAAGAGTGGACTCACTTTAGTTCCTGCTTTCATTACAGTTATTATATCCGCTGTGGTCTGGTCATATGACTGGTGACGTGCAGTGAGACCTGGAACACCTCCAGCCTCGTCTGCCCACCTTCCCCCTCCACCTCCTTCTGCCTGTGCGTCCTTGAAACTTTCCCAGAGTCCCGTCTTATCAGCCTCTCCTCAATCTCCCACTTGCGGACGTCTGAGACAGGCAGCTCACGTCAAAGCCTAATTATCCCAACCACAATAACATAATCACCTCTGACAGCACCCCCCCGTGACCTGACGTCCCCTGTCCTGTCCTAACTGAGCGCAGTCGACGACCTAGCATTACCCCCAGCTCCCCCCTCCCTCCCTCGCTCCCTCAACCACTCTCGACATCTCTAACTTTCTTCCCCGTCCTCTCATGGGAACCCCAGCTTTCAAACTGACTCAATCATTTGCTGGAGCAAGTCTCGTGTATTTCCTGTGTTGTGCAGTGTTTTATTTATTTTGTCATCTTATTTCTACATATTATATTTTTTACACAAATGTTTGATGTCCGTGGGTGAGCGTGTGAGTCGGCTGTTGCAATGTGATTTTATTTAATAAGCGTTTTGTTATTATTTGCCAGCGGAGCGATTTTTCAACAAGGTCTTGTTCAGTTATTTGTCTTGGAAAAATCTCTGAGTATTGACTTGGGTAACACTTTATAATAAGGGCACGAAACACATGCTTAATTAATAATTAATGACTCATAATGATATAATAGGTCAATTAATTCAGTTATGAAGTTTGCTGATAATCATTAAGGAATGATGGTCTCAGTGTGAGTTTATGTGATTAGGTAAAATCTAATGAATCGTTCATACATTCATTTAAATTAGCCATTCAGGCTTTTTCTTTTTTCTTTAAATCAAACTGGTTGTCAGATGAAAACATGAACGTGTTGCTGAAATTACCTCGAGGTATCAGCTGCATTATCCTGTAGTTGTGAACATGACATGAGTCATTCATCTCCTCTTCTTCATCCTGAGATATTTATATTTTATCTCAAAATGTTAAAGAACCTTACATCTGGATCATTCCTCAATCAGATGTGCTCGGAAAGTTAACAGGTTCTTCCTCGACTTAGACCACACCCACTCACCAAGTTTCAAGAAAACCACCCCCGTAGTTTGTTTGTAATCTTGCTGACAGACAAACAGCGATGACAGCATAACCTCCTTGTTGGAGGTAATTATACAGACAACATTAAGACCAATCACTTGCTAGCTTGTAAATAAGACCCAGAGAAAAACGACTGGTTCAAGTGTTCGTCCCTGACTGAGCTTCATAAGTAGATTCCAGTGAAATGAAAAATGAATGAGTTCACATTCATTAAGTGATGATCTCTCAAGTGTGAACTAATCTCATGAACCTGCGTGTTTGTGCCTTTATTATTAATGTCACCATGACGATCTTTACTCACCAAGAATTTGATCCTTGTGTCAGTTGAATATTAATCACCAGTGTTTGGATACACAACTAATGATTTAATTTATTTAATCTTTCTTCAGACTCCTCATGCAGTAGATCACTCAATATGGAGTGTGAGACCATTCTGAATGTGTTTCTGTTGACGTGCTCGACGTACTCTCTATGTTGGAAAACCATCAAATCAGATCCTCTCCCCCTGCGACTTGTTCCACTGAGCGTTCACAGCTCCCTCCTGTGGTTCCCGTTGGTTAGTTTAAGGGAGAGACAGTCGTTATTGTGTGGGTGAGTTTTCTCTTCCTTTTCATTCTCTAACAAATGTGTGTAAGAAAACTTGCAGTGATGGAAAAGCACAAGGCTGAGTGCCTCTGAACCTGCATTTTATACATACATCATTTTTCTCAGAAGCTTGTGTCGGCTATTTTGAATTCTGTGGAAGGACACGGGGACAAAGGTTTTATCAGTAGTTGATCTTAACTGGTTCCAAGAGCTCTGCAAGCAGCTCAACTCTTCAGTTGTCATTACGTCTCTCCAGAGATAAAAGGGAAAGGTCAACAATGTGTATATTATTATCTGTATGGAAACCTGAACTCTGAAAGTTCAGATCCAAACGTGGGTATTTGATGTCCGTTTGTACGCTTTTTTTGTGTGTCAGTTCAGAGCGAGAGAATAAATTAATTTATATATTTTTTAGAAAAATTAAAGCTGTACGATTATTGAGAAAAATAAAAAAGGACTGTGGCCAATAAAGAGTCTCACACAAGGGAAATAATCTCAAGTCAGACTCAAGTCGGCATCTGCACTCACTGCCTTAAAAACATTCACAGGTTCTGTTTCACAGCTCCGATCCAAGAAATATCTCAAACAAGGCATTTGGAGGAGGGGAGAGAGAAGACGGTGTACAGTAGACCCCTTGTCAATTTGTACAAATATACCAAGTGAAAAAAATATTTATTACCTGCATTGGAAGAAATTGTTTACTTATTGAATGTTACCTGTTTATGTAGAAAAGTTTAGATGTAATAAAATGCATTCTGTTATTTCTCTGTTGTTGTGGGTTTATATGAACACTAGGTGGCAGCAGAAAGTCGTCCCCCTGCTGTCATGGTAATAATCCAATTACGCACGACTTGTCAACTCAAGCCGGCGCCTTAATGTAAGTGACACAAGCTGGACTTAATAGGAAGCGTCTTAAATTATTAATTCGACTTTTACTTTAGGATTAAAAGTGATGGGAAGACGCCTCACGCCCCCGAGGAACCTCCGTTACGCACAGGACGGATGGAGATGTTCACCAGTTTACACCTCACCCCCTCCCCCGGCCTGAGAGAATGGAGGGCGGGTGTTGGAGCATTCTTTTCATACGGTCAGAGCAGGGATGCTGGGGGATGAGAGGAGGCAGGATGACAGGACAGGAGGGTGGGGTGGATGCTGACTGACAGAGGAGTGAGGATGGCGCCATGTACCCAATCATCCAGATGATTTTGGACACAGATGTTTCAGTCTCACTTTAACGCAGCCTGCGCACAGGAGTGAACATCGTCTGCTGACATGGTGGAGGGAAATGAAAGTGTGTCCTTGAACAGGTCACTGGCGGAGACGGACCGTTTCAGCAACCTGGAGGACATCGACGTGTCAGCGGACGGCAGCCCGGTTCTGAGATTCCTCATCTGCCTCGTGTACTCAGCGGTCTGCGCTGCGGGGCTGGTGGGGAACCTGCTGGTCCTCTTCTTCATCAGGGTGAAAAAGGAGAGGAAGAAGTCCAGCGTGAACTTCTTTGTGCTCAACTTGGCGGTGACTGATCTGCAGTTTGTCCTCACGCTGCCCTTCTGGGCCGTGGACACCGCGCTGGACTTCAGCTGGCCGTTTGGAGACGCCATGTGCAAAATCATCCTCTCCATCACCGTGATGAACATGTACGCGAGTGTGTTCTGTCTCACCGCGATGAGTGTGACCCGGTACTGGTCGGTGGCCTCTGCCCTGAAGAATAGAACCGCGCACAAGTCCTGTTCAGCCAAATGGGTGTGCGCAATCATTTGGACTCTGGCGACTCTGGCCACGACGCCAACGTCGATTTTCTCAACTGTCAGCAACGTAAGCGGAGAGAAACTGTGTTTGCTGAGGTTCCCAGGTGGACAGTACTGGTTGGCAGTTTATCACATACAGAAAATACTTGTGGGTTTTGTGTTGCCAATGTCCATCGTGTCCATCAGCTACATCATGCTGCTGCGTTTCATCCGCAATCGGAGCATGAAAACGAGCAACCCCAAACGCAGATCCCAGGTCACAAGATCCATCACCATCGTCGTGTTGTCCTTCTTCCTGTGCTGGATGCCAAACCATGCCATCACCCTGTGGAGTGTGCTGGTCAAGCTGAACGTTGCAAACTGGGACAGAGCGTATTACATAGTCCACACGTATGTGTTCCCACTGACCGTCTGTCTGGCGCACACCAACAGCTGCCTGAACCCCATCATTTACTGCCTCATGAGGACGGAGTTCAGGAACAAACTCAGAGATCTTGTACACAGAGGATAGTGGGTTTTGGAGGGTTGTGGATTTGACAGAGCGCGTAAAGGGGAGAAACAGTAACCAAAGCGCACCGGTTGCGCACGACAGAAAGACATGGAGTGAGATAAGAGACAGGTCAGAAAGACAACAGGACAAGCAGCATCCCGAGGAGAATGTCTGCTCATGGAGAATGTTACTTTTGATCAGCTTCTTGTCTTTAATGCTGTGCGTAATGTCGTCGATTTCTATAAGGAAATCATTGTGGCTGCTTTCGTCCAAGAGTTGCAATTGTGTATAAATATTACACGCATGATTCCCGTGAAGTTGCTTGTTAAATAGTTATTAGGTGTGATGTATGTCGAGTCCACGGTCTACTTGACTGCGTGCGTAATTACGCATGACATTTACCTTTACCGCTGGTGTTGTAATTCAGCAAGTGATGAGTTGCTGGACGCTTAATGTAATAATGTAAGCAGTGTATGATACGTGTTTAAGATTAATGGCTACAAACATCACCTGTTCACCTGCTGAGGCAAAGTGAGGGAAGACATGGGTTTATTTAGAATAGAGGCCAGAGCCAAAAGAGCCAAATGTATAAAATATGTATGTGCCAAGAAAGTGTGGCTGCAAAAATGTGCTCATATTCTAACATGGGTCCCACAGGCTCATTACAAGATAAAGGTGCAGCAGGAGAGGAGGTGTGAACAGCAGGTGGTCTCAGTGAACAACAGAACAGAGGAGCAGGCCTCACTATTCACACTCACGGCCCGCTGACTCCAGCTAAAGGGCTCAAACCCGCAAATGACAGATGAGACAGGTTTTATAATGGATATTTTATTCTCAACTGACAGTGGCTGTGTACAGATGAGCACCGCATGAGCACAAAAGGCCTGAGAGTGGGTCAGAGGAGCTGCAGCTGTACACGTGCACGCACAGCTGGGTGTCGTTGTGATTTCTTATTCTGACAGGAAGGATCCTGTCGACCTGAATGTGAAATGCTGAACTGAACAGAACAAGATTTGAATCTGTTTGTATTCATATTAGTTTTTAAAGGAACCAGCAAAGTGTTTTGTTGTTGTTCAGATGTCCTGGGATGGATCGTCCTTTTTATCTGTTAGATGTATTTATTTATTTAAATGTACAGTGTTTGTAATGGTTCATCAGTTGTGCCTGTCTGCCTTTTACTTTCATTAGAAAGCAAGATAAAATAATACAACTTTATTAAAGACAGTTTAAATGACAAAAAAAATCCCATCAACAAATCTTATTATTATCATTGTGTGTGTGTGGTCCTGGTATTATCCATGGTGTTGGGGCTTGAATCTGTTTACACGGTCACATTATTGAACTTCTTGTGTTTCATGAAGTAAATCATTCAATTTAAATATAAACTAGATTTAGTTTAAGGTTCGGTTTAGGTGAGTTGAAGATTAGGGTTATGTAAATTGTAACTATGGTTAAAATTTGGGTTTGGCTTGAATTGATCATGGTTGGAGGGATAAAGTCTTCTGTATGTGCATTGTAAACTACAACTCAACATGTTTAAGGTAAGGTAATAAAAGTTAAATTACTTTCACAGAGGATTTTGAGAAATATTATATATAAGTAAAGAAATATGTGTCACCTCAGTGCCACTGATCTTTGCTGGTGCTTTAATCACGAGGATGTGCTGCACGTCCGGACTCTGGGAGGGTTCATCACAATCTTAACATTCTGGGAGCAACACGGTTCTTTAAAGCAACAATCAGGCCTCCTCTCCTCGCACCAGCCCACGCTGAAACTGTCTTTCATCGTGTCCCTGAGAAAATAAAAGAGTGCAATGAGGGAGATCAATACTGTAAAAACAGAACTCAAATCAACCCTGAGCATTTTGTGATTGTTTTCTTCCCTTTACGCCTTCTTGCTATTACAAACTATTATGACTTCAATAAACCTGAACCAGGACAAAACAATCCAAGTAACATGAGAAAAGAAAAAGGCAAGAAACAGAATGCTCCTGTAAGCATTCAATAATGAATCTATGAAATGAAATGACACATTTACAAGATGGAACTGTCTTGTTCTCTGATGTGCACACATCGAAAAAATATAAAGCTTGGTAACTGATATTTATCATATTAGACATTATAAGATTCTTGATACTAATGCATATGTGTGAGCAGCATTTATTGATGTGTATTTTATATGCAGATGATATATTTAAATGCAGTTTGGTAGTTCTGAGCCAAATTTCCTATCCAGGTTTTGGGTGAGATTTCAAAATGGGATCACAAAGCAGAAAAAACTAAGTTTGGCCAAAGTTTGCCTCCAATTTTGGGATATTCTCAATTTTTATTTTATAATGATACCTATTTAAGCCTCGAAATACTCAAGTAAAGCACGAGCACCTGAAAATTGGACCTAACAGCAGTAGGTATACTGATTAAATTGTCCCCCTCTCCCAGCCTGAGTCTGGTTAATAGGGGATGAACAAATAATTTTTCTATCCACAACCTTGTTGATGTAGCTCCAATAGTATTATGCGCAGGTCCTTGAGATGTGAATTGGTGACATACAAATGAAACCGTATTAAATTGAATGAATGGGGCAGCAGTTTAAACAGGTCAGTTACCAACACAAGCAGGGACGACGTGTATACAGACATATTAACGGATGCATCCTGTTGACATCACAGTGACGACCTGCAATATAACTCACTGACTAAATTTACATAATGTGGCCTTGTCTTTCTCATGGGGACAAAAACCACGTCCCCATCATGCAAATCATTGTGATATCAGGTGGAGACATGTTCGCAGGTTAGGTAGTCACTGTGATTAAGAAAGTCTCTGGGAAGTCATTGTAAGTTAAGGGAATGTCCTCTGAAGTAATGGAGACAGTTCTGTCCAAAGTGATTCAGTATTATCATTATTTTGTTGTTTAGCACCAAAGACTCTAAACTCTGGATGTTATTTTCTGTGATGTGTTCCATTGTTGTGAGTCTTTGACTGAAATGTCACAACATGCAGCTCTCATCCTGAATCCTTCGCTTTTATATGTCAACAATTTAAACTCAATTAAGAAATAAAACTGTTGTGAATAACAACTCAACACGTGATGCCACCATTAAGACAGATTATAAAAACAACAGCATCGTGCGAAAACATTTTGAACACCGGTATCAAATCCGAGCAAACACAAACCGGCATAAATTCAGCTGAGTAGATAAATATGGAATTACATGAACAAATAAAAAACGAGTGTGCGTAGTTCAAAAATTCCGCGTGAACAAAAGAATGTGTTTGTTTTTTACGGGTTTCTCAGGCGGCTCGGGAACGCAGCGCAGCTCCCGGGGCTGGGTGGTCAGGTGACCCGGCGGTGGGCAGGCCAGTCTCGGCTTCTCCTTCGCTTTTGGGCTCCGATGTCGGGGGTGTTTGTGGCTGGAAGACATGGACTCTGGAGATGCTCCGATTTGATCCGTCGGACGAGCGACCAGCTGAGTCTGTGAATGGCGCCAAAACAGGAGCCGAAACCCAAATTTCAAGAAGGTGCGTTGGGAAAGAAGAGCGCGGAGGGATCTGCGCGAGGGGGGCGGGTTTGTTGTTGTTGTTGTCCCTGCTGCAGCTGTAATGTCTCCACAGAGGAGCGCGGGGACATTCACTGTACAGCGAAACCTGGATCCACTCACACACACGGGTTCACTACACTCGAGTGTGTCGTGTTTTAAAGCTCATCGCGGGGGGGGGGGGGGGGGGGGGGGGGATAAGGAAGCTAAGTGTTTCAACCGGACGATAACGTTAAGCTAACAGCTAGCTGGGTAGCTAGCTAGCATGTTGTTGATGCTATGTGTTTGTCTCTCTTGTGTTTCCCTCCTCGCAGGTGAAAGAGTCCTGTGCTTTCATGGGCCATTGCTCTACGAGGCAAAGGTGTGTTACAGTGTGTGTGTGTTACAGTGTGTGTGTGTGTGTACTTGTACGTGCATCTTTAAGAGGAATATTTGGAGTAAGCAAAAAAACAAAACACGAAGTGAGGAAATGTTGTGGAGGTGAGGACATTTTGACCTCACGTTTAAAAAACCTTTAACCTGCTTTCGTGGTTAGGGTTAGAGTAAGTTGCCAGAGAATACATTATATCCCTCACTAACAGTTACCACGAACCCCATGGAGTGAGGATAGTGTTCTGGAATCTTCACCAGTCAAGATCTCAGTGTTGGGGTTGTAGGCATGTGGTTGTGCTGCAGCAAACTTATGGACTGAGGATATTTTGGACAGTTCTCAAACTTACAATGGACTGTCTGAAGGTTAAAACTTGCTTTTAGGCTCAGGGTTAAAATTAAGTTTAGGTTTGGGCTACGGTTGGGATGAGGACTAAGCATTAGACTCTTTCATGAATTAAGCCCATGAGTGTCCTCACAGGATAGATGTCAAAGAAACTGTGTGTGTGTATCATGAGTCAAATATTTACTGCGAAACAAATGTCAGCCAAATGACTGACACGTGCCTGCGTGTGTGTTTTCTTGTTTTACAGTGTGTAAAGATCAGCATAAAGGATAAGCAGATTAAATACTTCATTCATTACAGCGGATGGAACAAAAAGTGAGCAGCTTGGTTTTAAATACAATTTGATTTTCTGTCTGTCCACTGTGTGATATTGGTCTATGTTCTGGACTCTCTTTTATTCCCTATCATGCAGCTTCAAGGTTTGATATGTTTCTCTTTTGCAGCTGGGATGAATGGGTTCCTGAAAGCAGAGTTCTCAAATATGTGGACAGCAACCTTGCGAAACAAAAAGAGCTTCAAAAGGCTAATCAGTAAGTTTCCCTTTATTGACACAGAATGTGGAATCGATAAAGAAGTATTTTATGAGAGGAAACATTGCTTGTGACATTACAGCATATTATTCATGTGTGTATTTGTGTAACAATCCTAATTTTCTCCTCTGCAGGGACCATTATGTTGAGGGAAAGATGAGGGGTTTAGCACCAAGTAAGAAGATTGCTGCTGTGCAGCAGAAAAATGTTGATCTGTAAGTGTCCACCCCTGTTTGCCATCAAATATTAAACATATTTCTAACACATCATTTAAATGGGCATAGTGTTGGCCCAGTGGTATGTAAACTATTGAGTGGAGTAATGTACACATGTACAGTATGTGCTGAATATAGTCACTGTCATCACTCACCATGACGTTTTTTTCTTTTTGGCTCGTAGGAAAGTGAAAAAGGCAAAACAGAAGAGTAAGTAAAAAGTTTTTACAAGACATGTTCATAGTGGATTTAAGTCACACATTGTTTACATTTACTTTATGTAATTCAAAAGACAGTTTGTATGGTCATCGACATGAGACTTTGAACTTTAAATTTGACAACAAAATGTTCGTGGGTTGCTGATTTTTCAAGTTCAAAAATAGGCGTTTCATCATTTTATGATATATGATGATGTTTTGTATTCGCTATTTTGGGCATTCAGATATTTTTAAGTGAGGTACAATGAGCCTGTATTGAGCGTGTCAGAAATAATTAAAAAAAAACTGATTGAATGGTACACTTATAGATATGAGGTTTTAACAAGCACATCATTATTACTTGCTACATGTCACAGTGAATCTGTGAAGATAAAGAATATTGAAAGCTCCCAGCAGTAGATCGTGCAAAGTAATTTTTGCTGCTATAAATGCAGACCATATAGCAAGTTGTTGTTTTCCTGCTCATCCATTAAGCCCAAAAGCAATGTCTCATTTGGGGAACTTGTTATTGATCTGCTCAGTAATTGAAGATGCTTTTGATCCCAGAGTTTTTCATTAAATCCCCTAACTTTAATTTCTGTGGGATTTATAATAATGAGGTATCTTTTCTTTTTTAGCCCCAGGGCCGGGTGAAGGTACCAGCAGCGGAGAAACGCCGCAGGGACCACGGAAGAAGAGGGCTCGGGTCGATCCCACTGTGGAGAGTGTATGTATCATCAGTTATTGTTAACCCTATAGAACTACATGGAACCATTTTACCAACTTTTTATTTGATGCCTGAGTAGAGTGGAAAAATATGTCACATTTCAGGGTAAATGCTCTTAATGTGACCAAATGTTTGTGACATTTTTAACAAAGGGTCGTAATAACAGCTCATCTGGCTCATAAATATGGTTTAGCAGTCAGTGATATATGCATAAATGTGACTGCTGTCCCCCGTGGTACACAATAGGCGAATGATTATTGCCCTTTCACAAAGGTCTTTCACTCGTGCTTAGAGTCTGGCTGAGGAGAAAAGAATGGCTTCTGTATGTTGGTAAAAAGCAAAAAAGAAACAGCACAAAATGTTGGTACCTTCCTTGATCCCTTGTAGTTGTGCCTCACCTCACCATGAGCTGTTTTCAGACATCCTACGGAGGATCTGCAGAGAATTGAGTCGCCTTTCACACATGCACAACACAGCAGGGGGTTCTCTGCTCAGACGTGCTCACAACAGTAACAAATTGTCTGCAGGATTCAGGGGATGGGTGGTGCAGCAGAGATTCAGTAGTAACATATTAATTCTGCAGAGATCACATGGTTTGGTTTTTTTGGTCGTTCTTACTGTCGAGTGTTAGAAGCACAATTAACCCCCCCCCCCGCCCTGACCCATTCGTTTGAAGGGAATCCAGCGGGGGGACTTCTGTGGACTTTGTACTTGGGGGCCAGGCGGAGAAAGTCCAGACAAACTCGGCAGACTCATGCTGCGTTCCCTTACATCTCTGAACTGGGCACTCAGATAGCGTTCCAGTTGCACAGGAAGGATGCAAGCCATTGTTAACCAAACAATACCATTAATAACACATTACATGGCATTCCACAGACAGTAAATGGACAGTAAGTGTTCGACAAATGTTTAACTTTTTTATTAACTTTTCAGTTTCAGTTATACTGAGTAAGGTCACAACAACACAACAACAATGAGCTTACAATTACAAATAACACAAGTAAAAACAAATGGGGAGGGTACAGCATGTCTCTTGTTTACCCAGTTGTTTCGTTTTTAAGTGGAGTGTAGTAAAGAAGCGTATCAAATCCTTCCACCTTTTGGAGCTGGTGGATGTTTGCTGTGTTCTACACATGGAATGCAGTTTAATATTAATTTCTGATATCCACTTTGATTTACATACAGAACATTTCTTCCACTTTGAATCCACTGTACAGTTTAGACACAATCTTTGAGGAGGTTTGTTTGTATGCACCTGTCAACACTTAAATTACTTCATTACCTTCTGCTGAGATTCTTTTTTAATTTCCTGTATCATAGAAATGTCTTAACTGTAAATATCTGAACAGGTCCACAATTTCGAAGTTAAATTTACTTTTTATTTTTTTCGAAGTTTTTAAAGGATTTTCCCCCTCGAGCTTCTCTCAGTACCCTCTCCTTGGTTGTGAACTCCTGAAATTAAATAATAATAGGTTTTCTCTTGGTTTTTGTGCCAGTGATCGATGGGTCTGCTGTATTTTCAGATCCAAATCTTTGGCCTCTACAGTACAGGTAGAACCTCCTCAGAAAGAGAAGCTTGCATTTCCCTTACCTCCCAAGAGCCTCCAGCCTGGGCCACCATCAGTGCAGAGGGCTCCTCAGCCAGCGCTGGAGTTGTCAAAGAGAGTGATCCTCCTTGTGCCCTGTGGTTTCTCTGCACCAGGGACGGAGAGCTGGACTTTTGTCTTTTTGTTTTAATGGCAGAATAAAATGGAAGGAAATAAGAAAAAAAAATTACTGAATATTTGAGGTGTTACGTTGGGATACATGTGCTTGTATTTCTTCACTATCTAAGATCTTGATATATTCAAAATGGAGAAAATATCTGAGATTATAATAAAAAAATGTATTTGTATACTGCTTTCAACCTTGTATGGTGAACCTATTCTCTATTCGCTCTTTTTTTTGTGTCCTTGTTGAGGTGAAGGACAGAAGCTGCTGCTCGCAAGCAACCATTGTGATAATCAACAAAGAAGAAATGTGTGTGTTTGTGTGCAGGAGGAGATGTTCACTAACCGTGTGGAGGTGAAGGTGAAGATCCCCGAGGAGCTGAAGCCCTGGTTGGTGGACGACTGGGACCTCATCACTCGACAGAAACAGGTGGAAAAAAAACATACATACACGCAACCACTTCAAGGTCACATGTTTTTTCTATATTCAGCTAAAATGACGTGATGATGTCAAACTGTATGTTTAAAAATGAATCTGGTTGTTCTGCTTTTACAATACAGAATTAACAACTTTTTTCTATCATTATCAATGATCATAGAATGGACCAGGGAGTGAATCACTGTATGGAAACCGATATCGATCCCTCACAGTGATGATTTGTCAATGTGACTGACTGAATGAAAGCTGTGGATAAAGAGAAGATTTTTCTGTTGCTTACAGTTATTTCATCTGCCTGCTAAGAAGAATGTAGAGACTGTCCTGGAGGACTATGCAAACTATAAGAAATCAAAAGGAAACTCGGACAACAAGTGAGAATAAAAAACACCCCAGCTCCCTTTAGATTATGTGCAAGAATAGAGCAAACCTGCTCATCATCGCTGCATGTGTCCACCTCATCATACCAAGTTTTGCAGTATGGTCACACACTCGTCTCTCATAGTTTCCTGAGTTTCAAACGGTGTAAACACAATCATGAGCAATTTTCCCAGCATGACACCAGAATATCCACATTTGGCAAATCATACTGTATATGCTGCTGGCCATTCCCTGCTGGTAGACCACATCTTTGTAGATGTGTAAAGGTAACAGGAATCAACTTGCTATGATTGTTTACTTGCTGTAAATGTCGTGTTGATGTTGTACGTTATCAAAAAGGACAGAGTTTGAAAGAATGGGGCATTCATGTGAACATATCAGACTCTGAACTGTCAAAACTGCATCACATCTCAACGATAACACAACTTTGAAGTAAATAAATCCAACCATAAAGTCAGCTTTGACAGATTTCTTATCTCAGTACATTTTCAAAACTATATGATTGATGTTTCTGTAAAGCTGCGATCTCTTTTCGTCTCAGTGGAAGCGGTCTCCAGAGAAATACGTGACTCCTCTCTTCTCCGTTTACGTAGGGAGTATGCAGTAAACGAAGTGGTGGCAGGAATTCGTGAGTACTTCAACGTTATGCTGGGCACGCAGCTGCTTTACAAGTTCGAGAGGCCGCAGTATGCTGAGATCCTGGCTGAACACCCAGACATGCCAATGTCGCAGGTTTACGGCGCTCCACACTTGCTGCGACTATTTGGTAAGTATCCCTGAACACACAGTTAAAGCACAAACAAACACACACTGCCCAGAGGACAGGAGTGACTGAATATATTATTTCACTATAGTACACGAAAATATTTAATTTGACTCCTAGAGAATTCTTCTCATACAGGTACAGTAGTTGTGAGAGTGAATACTGTCGTAGGGTTCTTGTATTTGTCTTTGTAAGAGAATTTTGAAATGCTCTCTATAGAAACTTAAACACTGTGAAGCTAAAGAGAGACGTCGTATTTCAAACAAATCGCTGAAACAACAGTGTGTTCACAATAATGGCAAAGACAACGGATTCCCAGTTCAGAGGGAACAGGTGAACAGCTCTTTGTGCAGCTTCATGGTTCTGTGGACTGAATCCTGGAGCAGGTCTTTACTTGCTGCAGCTCAATTGCTGCAGGTCAGTTTTAGAAAGAACACTGCAATCAGCATCACCACATGCCAGGTAAACTTCCTGTTCCAAACAGGTCTAATCCAGTGAAAAGAACAGCACTGTTACTGCAAATCCATTTTTTCTGTATCAGAAACAACAGATTTATCGTTTTATAAGTTTGTATTTCTTATCGTCAGTAATTATCCTATGAACTTAAAAATGTTTGAGTCTCCTCTTGCGTTGTTCCTCACACACATACACACTCTTTCCTCCGACAGTTCGTATCGGAGCCATGCTGGCCTACACTCCACTGGACGAGAAGAGCCTGGCTTTGCTGCTCAGTTACCTCCAAGATTTCCTCAAGTGAGCTTTAACTCCCACCACACCACCACAGACACCATGTCATGTTTGGCCAAATCCTGAATGCGATGCTACATTGACATTCAGATTAGTGCAGCCAGGCTTGTTGCAAATCCTCAAAACACAAGTCATGAAATCGATTTTCTGCTCTAGAAAATATTTGTTGCTCAGAATGACCGTGAAACAGCTTTTAACAGATAGATTTAACTTTTGGGTGCGTTATTCAAATGCAATTTCAAAATGTCTTCAGCAGATTTGTGCTTGGTGATGGATTATTTTCCATTTTAGATGTAAAACTAACTAAATGGTCTCGAGGAGCAAAAATGACCTTTTCTTGTGAAAGTGAAATCTTTTCATCTGTGACACCAAACTAAATGGTTTTCTTCTTCTTCAGTTATATTGCTGCTACATATGCCAGCATCGATTTACTCGCTATTATCATTTGTGCTGTTCATGAAAAAAAGGGGGGGGTGAACATTTGCAGAGATCTGTGTTAATTCAGTCTCATTATCTCATTTTGGAAACACTGCAGATGAAATTAACAAAATGAACAGTTTTATTCATTTTTGACTTCTGCCTGCCATATTGACAACATGCCGACATCAGACGCAAGCCCATCTGTAAACCAATCAACATCAAGTATAGATAGATGCAGCCCACAGCTGATGATGACAGGACGTCACACAGCACTCCCCAGATTGCAATGTGAAACTAAGACTAACCAGATCCAATGTGAACAATGATATGAAAACATGGATGAGCAGAGGGAGTCATCAAAAACGTTTTCACACATGATCAACACAGCAGGAGATTCTCCGCCTAGAAGCAGGATGTAATGTACACATTCCACAGTGGAGATCACGTTTTTGTTTACAGCACATCACCTCTGGCGTCTACTTATCACCAAAAAACTCTATTGACATCTTTGTCTGTGTCTTCTACATGTATGGCAACTCTTTTATTCTGTTATATTAGTATTATTTATTAGCGTGTATTTACGTCATCGACACACTAACTCGCTGATGGTGAATCTTGCAGAGGATCTCCTGTTGTGTTCTCACATCGGCTCATTCGGTGCTGGCCAGACAATCTTGGACATTGGCATTGTCACATACTGTGGAGTTTAGTCTGAAAGCAGCTTGAGACAGATTCCACCATTTAATCCTTAATTACTGATGCAAAATCGTTTTTCTCATCTTGGGACAGAGCCTTTGTCTTCAATCAGACAAGCTGTCCCCAAAAAACTGGTTTGAAATCTGTCCCAAAAGGCAGAAACCCAAACACACACACAGACACACAGCTGTTGTGGCTGGTAACAAGTCAGAGATGACAGAAACACATTTGTCGCTGTCTCTAGCAATAATCATAACCACCTCTCCACAATGACAAATAAATTCTGCATGTCCTCCAGGTACCTGGTGAAGAATTCGTCCACCCTGTTCATTGCCAGTGACTACGAGGTCGCACCCCCAGAGTACCACCGCAAGGCAGTTTGAGAACTCTCAGCACACAGCTCATTGAGACACATCATCCCAGGCTCCCAGAACACATGTAAAATAAACATTATCTTTTGAGTGCAGACTTGGATGAGATTTTTCACTTGAAATGATGCGCTTCCTCCTCCTCGTTCTCAGGAGCTTATCACAGTTGAGATGTCCAATATTTGAAGTTTCGCTTAACCTTCCTCTCTCTCTCTCTCTCTCTCTCCTCCCCCTTTGTGCCCTTTTTCTCTCACCTCTTTGAAAAGACTCAAGAAAAAATGTTCTCACTGTTGTAAAGTTACTGTTCCACAAGCAGCTCTTTGGTGTTATTGATGCATTCCATCAAATATTTGTTATTGTTGCATGCTTGTATTTATTAGTGTTTCTTCTGCCACACGAGGTGCAATCAGTTGCTGGACCACAAGGTCAGCATTCAACAGTTGATGTTTTTATATCTCTATCTTGTGTATTTGTATCAATTTGTAAAAAAAAAAAAAGAAGTTTCTTAACAATCTCTGCCTTGTTTACTTTGTCTTCTTGTTTGTATTCTGTAGATTAGTTTGTGTCATCACTGTTGTGGAGGAACAGCTCACAGTGGCTTCGAGACACAGCTCAGTACCGCAGCACATCACACATCAAAGCCTTCAAAGACCCTCGTGGAACATGGTTTAATATTCAACTGCCAAGACAGAAGCAAAAACATCCATCTTTCATGCACGTGTTCAGCTCAGGAAATATATAGGTTGCGCCACGTGAAGGAGTCAAAATTCTCAAGCTGTGCAAATGTAAAAAATACAATATGCCCATAGCAATACTTTTTAACCCTTTATTAAACCGGGGGGGGGATCTCTGGGAGTAAATTGAAGAAATTCATCCCCATGAGAAATTAATAATGTTTAGCTAATTTACTTAAAACTTTGTTTGGGAAAATGCAACCCTAAAGCCCAATATTAATTGACACGATTCAGACTGAAATGTTCTGCTACACCTACTGTTACGTTGTTTAAAACAAATATCCAAATAGATGATCACAAGTTCATTACATTTGTTTCTTACAAACTATGATTCATGCAAGTTATGATTGCCCATGGCCCTTTCTAGAAATACATCAAATGCTTTATTTTGCACCGTCTCTTTCATTTAAGTCTAATTCCCGAAGGAACAAAAGAGTTGTCAAATCTGGTTGTTGTTATTTGTCTTTGCAGAATCAATTCCTTGCTCTCACAACCCAGGGTCTTTCCACAACTGAGCAGGTGACATCTGATCGCACTATCTCTTTGTTCCATCTTGATCCTGCTCTGCAACTCATCTTGGTCTTGAAAGATGTATGATTAACATAAAAAAAGGATTCCGTTTCCATGAAAAGAACATTCACTGTCAGAGTTTATAGAGAATATTGTTGACAATGGTGACAGGGACCTTCTTACTTCGTCTGACATCTGTGACCATTTCCTTTGTTTTGGTTGCAAGAAATCGTCTGAACACCGTCCAAAGAAGTTCTACAAAATCACCCAAGTATGAGTTGTTAGGTTTTTAGTTTCCTCACCAACGCTGTTTCATCTGCCTACTTCAAAAATGTGTGGGTGAGACTGAAGCTCTACATATTACTTCAACAAGGAAGGTTATATTCTTACCCCTGTTTGCTTGTTTGCAGGCAGGATTACGCAAATACTACCAAACAGATTTCCATGAAACTGGGTGGAAGGATTGGACATAGGCAAAGAAAGAACCCACTTCATTTTTGGGCAAAAGGCAAGACAAGTCAGTCTTATTTATAAAGCCCCTTTTATACACTGATAGTAGATTCAGGGTGCTGCACATTGACAATAAAAAACAGCACAGACAAAGATTAAAAGAAAACTATTTAGAATAGTGTAAAAGAGATAAATCTGTGCTAAAAAAGGGTGGATCAAGGAATTTGGTATAACCTTTTTAATGTTGTGAGATACGATGTTTTGTCACTGATATCTTAAGGAATAATTTGTGGATCCTGATGAAAAAAATCTGGCATATTTAAGGGACTGATTTTTATGAGTGTGTGGATTTGTTGTGACTTTGTAAGGGGACTGTTGTGTCTTGGTGGAGGTATGTACTCTCCTGTGTGCCAGTTGGTGTATATAGTGGATACAGTATTGAAGATACAAAAACCTGAGGGGCGCCTGCATGTATAAGCTCGGGTGAACACGCAGTTGAGTCACATCTGCCCTCCTGGGTTCAATTCAGCAGAGAATCATTTATTCACAGAATGATCATTGGATTAACCCCAGGATCCATATGTGTATGCACTAACGGGAGGCATTAAACACATTGGAAAAAAATCACAAATACAATTTTCACAAAGCTGTGAGGTTTGCATACAGCACAATCTTCTATAAACCCTTCATGGAGACTGAGGTGAAAGCAACTGGCCGCAGGTCATTCCTCTCTGCAGGTCTGCTGAGACGTTTCTTTGAAAAGAAGATGCAAATGAATCAGTGCACGCCTGCAGCACTTTACAGTCAATACCATCTAGACCATGGGGTTTACCTGGACCCTGAGATTTCCACTGAGGTAGCAACCCACTGAATATATCTGGTATTTGGCAAGTAGCCTCCAGCAGTGTTGTAAATGGATGACAAGGGCTGCTCTGTGGCAATGCAGTATGATTAGAGGTGAGAATGAGTACTTTCAGGTATTTAATTTACTGAAAGTCAGATCTCACTAACTTTGTTTCTTTCATGACGCATTCTACTTTCACACATAATTAAACCGCTCAGTACCTCAGACGTGAACGTATGGATTAATTAAACATGGGCACACTGTGCGTACAAGAAGAAAACATTCATTGACATTCATCAGTTGTTGGGACCTGGATAACAATGTTAGTGTTTCTGTGGTCTCTGAGTTACAGTCCCATTAGCATCCTGAGGTCAGTGCACCCCCAACCTAGACACACTGAACAGCAGTGGCAGCTCCGTGGTAATTCCATGGTAACTCCGTGGTAACACTGTTGCTATGGAGTCACAGACAAAGACACAGAACCATTTAACGGCCAGTAGCATTTAGTTAAATATACCCTCAAAGTAAAGAATGCCATGTATAACAGGAGAGAAGAGACAGAGTGTTGTTATAAACAAAATATTATCCATTTATTGACAGACGCAGAGATGTGATTTAAACATGTGACATAGAGTCACTCTATAGTGAGTTTGTAGTAAACATGTTCAAACCCATGTTAAATTAAGCAGGTCAGTTTTTTACATCCATTCATTCAGTGGTTGAGTCGTTGCTTAAGGTTAAGCAGCAACACTGCAGTGGAAAAATACTATAAGTCCTGCATTTGTGTAAAAGTACCAAAACACAAAAGTACCAAAAGTTCCAAAAGTACTCATGGAGCACGACTCATCTCAAAGTTATGAGATACACTGGATTATAACTGTTTGTCCAACACCACTTATCTTATCCTATAACTTAATGTATGATAGTATTTGTTGGTTGTATTTTGTATTATTAATCTATATCTGCTAAGTAACTACATTTGTCAAATTAATGTAGTGAGTAAAAAGTGCTCGGATTCCAAGTATAAACTAACAGAGAAATAAAATACTCAATTAAAGTATTAATACCTTACAGTAGTTGAGTACTTCAAGCTCGAGCTCATAATTAGAGACCACAAGGGGGCAGTTTTTTCTGCCAATAACCTTGTCCACCTGTTTTTTTTTTTAACTCACTTTCTATCTATTACTTTGTTTCACAAATACAAATATATAAACAAAGCAGAAGTGCACAATGTAGAAAACAAATTAAATGAGAACAACAAGGCTGAATGTGGGGTTCTCATATTATTCTGTTTATGTAAATTTGTAATTTACACATAACAGCCTGAAAATTGGGCCCAGAGTCAAATCAACACACCGCTGAATAGTGCAGTCAAATTTCTGCAGGGCTCTTCTATTAGACTGTCATTACATTTAGTGCCTGAGAAACTAATTGGATGGATACGGTTTAAAAGTTTGACGTGCACTTCTTCAATCCTCTTGGTGAAACATAATTTACACACAACTTCCTCAGTGTGTGTTCAGTGCTGGTTCAGTCCTCAGGTCCCAGGTGTGTGTTCAGTGTGTGTTCAGTCTCAGGTGTGTGTTCAGTGTGTGTTCAGT